TCCTTTCCAAAAATAAGTTGATTTAAATAAGGAAAGTGGTAAAGGAATTCCAATTAACTGAAATTCAAAATGGAGTTTAATTCCTTAAAATAGGTTTTATAATTTTAGGAAAGATTTTAAATTTCAAAATTGAATGAAATTGAATTTCAAAATCTATCCAAAAATATTGTCAATTAGAATAGGAATAAATCCAAAGAGGGTAAGGGGCTAGGGAACCGGAGGGCTTGCTTGGGATTTGGGTAAGGGAGCTGGGCGCTAGGTGGAGTTTGACTTGGGGAGTTTTCGGTGGAAGGATGGTGGGGATGAAGGTGGCCGGCGGCTAGGTGGGGTGGCTAGGGGATCCGGCGGCTAAGAGGAAGAGAGATTGAAAGAAAATAACGATAAAAACCAAACCACGGAATACGGCCGTCTCCAAGGTTGGTGGGTGATATGGTTTCCCTCTCCTAAGGGATCTTGCTCTCTCTTCCAAGCACTCTCAAGATCTCTCAAAAACTCGAGCAATAGCACAAATTTTTTAATCATTCAATCATTAACTTTAGAAGAAGAACATGAGGGCTATGAATAGCCTCGTACAAAAAGGATTCAAAGATAAAAGACGACCTTGCCCTTAGGGCTTACATACGATTTCCCTTAAGCAAGGGGTAAAACAGGAAAAACAATTACAACATAAATAACAAATAACATAATAAAACAAATACATGAAATAACTCAAAACACATTGACTCGATCGTGACCATAGATCGACGGCCACGCCTCAGATATACTTTTCATACTCTGATGTCCCCATCACAATGTAAGCAAGATAAGCAAAGTAATCTCACATATACTTGCACTAGCTAAACTACCCTCACATTTAACTTTGGTGTAAACTTTAACTTATTATTGGATCAATTTTTAACAATTAGAGGGTAAACTAGGGCCATACAAAATTTTGGGACTAAAATGAGCACTTGCTAACAATCAGGATACTATTTTAGGCCTTTTCTCTATACAAAGCTAATCTAAAAAACCAATAATTCAAAGAAAAGATTCATACATATGAAAAAAAATGAGCTTTCATAAACATAATATGTAATACATGTAGAAGCAAAAAAAAAACAATGTAGTTATAGTCAAAAGGTGAGCTCATTTGTGATAAGCACAATAATGAAGCATCCATTATTAAATGGCTTTTTATTGTGTTTATTTACATCATATTAAATGATCACATCATCATTGACTTGCTCATGGTATGTGTAACTCCATCTATTCAACCTGAAACATGCTTGTTATGATTAAATGCGTTACCAATCTCCCAATTCTTTTGTGCAACACCCGATCTGTCAAAAAAGTGAGATGAAATTTCTCCCAAAAAATATCTTACTTTTTGTCCTCCCAAAATTCATCGAATACATTTTTATTAAATTCTATGCTTCCTAACGATCATTTTGACATATATGTCAATTATGTTAGCTTATATAATTAGCAAAGCTACCCTATTATTTTTTTCTAAATTTTCATTTAACAATATTGTAGCTGTCCCTATTATACTATAGCAACACGGCGAAGTCCAGAATTTTCTAGGAATTGGATGGGCCGTGGGAGCTTTAGCGGTGGAACTCAAATTTTCTGAAAAACTTATATAAGTTTATATTTATAAAGAAGCTATCCATAACGCCATCTCCTTAAGATCTGTAGCTAAGCAGAGCAGGAACCATGGATCGAGTACTATAGCAATGAAATAAGGGAGCGAGCTGCAGCTACTGGTCACATAAAAGAAGAATTCAGGTACCGTGGCTAAATCCGGATTATTGAGCTGCTGGCATTTAGAAGAAGAGGAGCTTGAGTAATTTAACAACAGGCTTGTAGAAGAAAGAGAAGCTGGGTATTGTATTAGTTAGCTTATACAAGAAGTTCGGGTACCATTGTAATTAGAGGAAAATCAAATAAAGGAAGGAAATGAAAAAGAATAAGAAAAAGAATGAAGAAAGAAAAAAGGGGATATAAGGTAAGAAATTTTTAGATCTTTCCAATGCATTGAGTTCAATTCGTGTTGTAGGAAATAAAAGGGTTAAATGAGAGAAAAGCAGCCTTAAGTTAAAAAAATCTTATTCTCTATTAAAAATGGAATTATTGAATTCATGAAATATCACATATTGAAGAAATCCCTATTTTAGGTTGTTTGCAAAAGATCAACGCTTTGGAAAGAGAAAATTAAGGAAATGAATTTCGAGGATTTGATTTATCTGGTGAAATACAATTGTCAAATAATTCCTAAGATTTAAGTTTGCACATTTTATTATTCTTCTAAACAACAATGATTACATTTATAGAAATTCTTGCATAATAAGCATATTAAAAATATCGAAGAGATTAATGCACATAATGTATTTATACATGACGTACGATCATTAATTTATATGATTTCTAGTTAATCCTCATTAATTGCAAGTATAATACAATTAAATGATATATAATGCACAAATGAATATTTTACATGTACCATATTTTACCATGTATGTGCATCACTATGAAGTGAGGAATAAATATTTATGTAAAAAAAAAAGAATAAAATAATGAGAATAAATTCAAGAATCCTCTGAAAAGTCATATAAGTGAGTTAAGTGTGTTGACTTTGATAACCTGTGTAGAAAGAGATGATCAATAATACTAGAACATTGGTTAGCCCAACCTTTATTAGGAAAAGATGAATAAAAAGGAATTCCTAACTCTTGATACTGGACTAAACCTGATCAAGGGGAAATTGACACAAAGGAGCCGAAGCATATAAGCATGATATGATATTTCTAAAGTTAGTATTATTAAAAATAAGTAAAAGAAACCAAATAAGAAATTAATGTTAGTTTTATCTTTTATGTTCATACAACTATTATACTGATTATTCATGATTTAATTTTTCATGCATTAACTAATAGCTCATGTAATTAATTAATATATAATCCATGAAGCTCATTATGCTTGATTAAATTAGAAGATTCTTATAGCACATAAGAGTATAGCATTTTATGTCTCTTCCTTGTGTATTTGACTTTACGTTACAATTATTTATCTCGCTACGCTTGTATCTCATTTGTGGATATGCTTTGTTTTCAAGAAAAAAGAAAGAGACGCGAGAGTAGAGAACAGGTAACTAGTTTTGCTTTGTATAGAAATATACTTGATATATGATATTAGAAATGGTAAAAAATATGTCTGATGATGTAAATCAACATTTTGGGTTTGTACAAATTTATTTAGAATCATATTAGAAGTTTTGTATTTGATTAGATGATTTTATTGATTAAATCTTCTATTTCAATACTTATGTTGATTTATAAGATGATGCTAAGTGTTATGTATATTTTTTAATGATAGAGTTAGACTAATTTCACTCATCTCATCTTGATGAAATAAATTAGGATGGTGTGGTGAGAATTATATCTGTCCAAATTATCCACTTCTGTTATGCCTCAAAATTGTCTGGAAGAGGGGTGTAAATCGGGTGTGACATTTTGAGCTAGAGAATTTGGAGAGGCACTGGACTTAAAACCACCACAACTTATAAATATATGAATGATTTAACAAATTCCAAGTCGAATTAGGAGTCTACTACTTAGGAGTTGTCAACCATAATGAGAAACGTATCCATGGGAATAAGCACCAAAAAGGAGTAGCAGTATACCGCTTTCATGATCATTCAAATAGTTTCACAGGAATTTAAAAAGTAATGTTCAGTATGATTGGCAAGCTGCACCAGAATATACTTCAATAAAGCGCTTCTATGGTGCTTCTATGGTGCCGCCTTCATATTCAACCCTTCTTCAGCCACCTCCACAGGAAAGCACAAAGTTTCTTTAAGGCGTCCCAAGTTGTTTAATATCCTTTAATGGTGGAGAAGTTAATCTTACTTACTACAGATAACTAGACACACTAGTAAAGGATATGCTAGTTTCAGACAACTCAAATAATAAACAACAATATGCAAGCATTATGTTATTATTAGTTTTCACTCTCTAACATTAGTTTATTGTAAGACTTCAGCATCTTCTTTGACAAGTCATCTCAGTGCATATTATTATATGATCCTTGTTATTTAACATTTTTAAAACGTCTTTAATCTGCTAGTTTCTGTTGACCTCATTTTTGTATGTTCCTAATGTTGCGTTGGATTTCAAAACTAAAGTTCAAAATTTAATCTTCCGAAAAATAATTAAATATTTTCCAAAATTATATATATTTAAAGATATATATTTTTTTTAATCAAAACAGTTTCATGATTTTATTTTCTTGATGGTGTAAATGTTCCATTGCTCCTTGCAACAAGTCATAAACAATTAAACATGAATAGAAGATTGAAACATAATGAGACACCCGTTCCTATGAGGTTCACCTCTTCAAAGCTTTGGCCAGGATTCTCGTCACAATGTCATTTGACCCTTTTTTAGCAAATCTGGTTATATGGCAGCAGGTTTTCATGATTCCACACCTAGATGAAGGTTGCCATAAGCTACACCAAGCGATAAAATCAATAACAGTTCATTTCACATTGATAGCTCACTCAATTCTAATACAGACACATGCAGCTAGGAACCTAATCAGTCATATCCCTACCGAAATAAGCATACCCAAAATGTAGCAGCATACTCCACTTTAAGATTGATACATCCAATAAAAAAGACATTATTAAATTAGAAGAGAAAGAACAGTTTACATAAATGCCCCAAAGCACATGTGACAATTGAGAGAAAACAAACTTAAAAAAAAAAAGATAGAGAATTATAAATTACTGCAATTGATATGGATTAACCTTTTATCAAGTAACATATCAGCTCAAGATCAAACATCATATGTAGTACTAAAATACTGATTAGGCATTTCTCTGCATTGGCTAAACTAAATTCAAACAGAAAGAGAAGGAAACAAAATTGTCTCAGTGCTATTCGATGGCTTAGTGCTATTTAAGCTAGTAAGATGCAGTAACCTTGATACATGACAATGTTGAGGAAGAGTTTCAAATATACCTTTTGAAGATCGTATCCGCATTGACCTGCAGATTAAACTTAGCATCAGTCAGTTGTAATATAATCTAGAAACACTGTAATTCTTATCACACAAAATTATGTTGATGTTGTACGCACAATGATATCAGTCAAAAAGATCTTGAATAGTGCATTTTGTATGAGCAACACACAGCCTGAGTAAGCAGAATTCTAACTGTAAATACTTTTCACTGCTCATGTACCAGCATCCATGCATTTCTTTACTTCCATTATGTTTAAAACTACATGAATAACTCAAAATTTAATAATAATACATAAACAAAATATACTTAACAAGCAGCATTTAAAAATGCCCCTCCGTTGGAGCAAATCATAGTGAGAGAATCAACAAAACCCAAGTTGGGTTGAAGAGAAATTAAGCACCCTGAGTAATTAAAAGTCCTAATCAATAAGTCGGACAGATCAAGGGCTGTTGAGATTGGTTTCACCAAGAAACATATACAGGACTTAGATACTCTTTATTGTGAAGGTATGGAACAGATCAACATCAACATAGAGGTTTTATCCCACTATATAGGATCGGCTACATGAATCTTTTTTCTTAATTGTGACCTGTTAAGAATCAAATTCTCATTTAAATCTAATAAAAAAAGATGTTTCTAATATTTTCTAACAAAGTCTTGTTAGGTGTACCTCTATCTTTCTTAATAGAGGCTAGATCTAATACATCTACTCTCCTAACCAGGTCATCATAAGGCCGATATTTTATGTGACCAAACCATCTAAGACGACCCTCTCTAATCTTATCTGTCATTGGAGCTACTCCAACCTTTTTCACGTATATACTTGTTTTGCAATCTATTTATAAGAGTGAAGCCACTTATCCACCTGAGCATCCTCGTCTTTGAAACAATTAATTTTATGCTTCTCTTTTAATGGCCAACATTCTGCTTCATAAAGCATTGCAGGTCTCACCACCATCTTATAGAATTTTCCCTTAAGTTTGAGGGATATTTTTCTATCACACGATAAGTTTGATGTATTCCTCCAATTTAGCCATTCAACTTGAATTCTACTAACAATATCATCATCTATTTCACCATCACTTTGAACAATAGACCTAAGATATCTAAAATGTGTACTCTTATTAATGATTTGATCGCCCAAAGTCACAATCTCTCACTAGATCTATTACTACTAAAATTATATTCCATGTATCCAGATTTAGATCTACTCAAACAAAAATCTTTAGACTCTAGGATTGACCTTAATAATTCAAGTTTACATTCAACTCCCTCTCTAGTCTTTCAACAAGAATAATATCATCGAAAAAAGCATACACCAGGGTACATCCTCTTGCAAAATAAAAGTTTAACCAAGTTACCCACATAAAGTCATGGATCAAGTGGCATAATGGTTGTTATATAATTTTGAATCATAGTTTAAGTAGTTGAACAGTGTTTTCCATTTTCAAGTTTACCTATCTATTAAAAAGAATTACCATTAGTAAGTTGCTTTTGCAAGATGTGATCGACCTTCAAAGCCAATTTTGTGGGTCAAAAAAGTTCCACTAAAGGCAAGCTTAAAACAACAATAACAAGCCTTTATCCCACTATGTGGGATCGGCTACATGAATCCTTTCTCACCACTTAAGGCAAGCTTTTTTAATTTAATTTTAAAAGTCACTAAGATTCTAGCCTATAATTCTAAAAGTAGTACTAAACAAAAAAATATCTTTAAATTACCAAATGTTGTTAATTCTAACACCTTTCTAACTTGATTTATAATTGATAACAAACATAAGTAACAATTTTTTTAGATAGCTAATAGTATTTCTAACATGGTTATAAAGGCAATGAGCACCATGAAGAGTATTAGACCTAGTATGGCATCACTATTCAATTCAACTAGGTCAACGGTGAAATGGGACAAGTAATACCACCAAAATAAAATTGACAGATACTTCACTTCCCATGAAAGGCAGTCCTACAGCCTTGAAATCTAGAAAATAAAGGCTTGCAAACACATTTACTAACCACAAGCATGCAATCACAAAATATCTATGAAAGATTCATGCATGCAATTGCAAAATACCTATGAAAAAAATTTTGTACAAAGCTCTTCAAAGCTAAATAATGCCGAAAATAATCCTAAAACACATCTTATGTGTAAAATTGTGCACACATAAATGTTCTGCAACCATTCTATCGCATGTTCAACTCAACTAATCGCGTCTAACAATGTCCATCAATATCAACTTCACAAAAAGAGAAGTATTTTTCTATTGAGATTTGAGACTACTATTCTGAGTAACTAAAGAACCAAGAAATGCTCCCCGGATGCATGATTTTTGTGCTGAGACAACAAATGGAAAAGTATGAATAGATAAGAAAAAAAAAATTAGCTTGCTATGATAAATGATGGACTAACGGCCGAACTGGTGGACCACACTAGGGTGAGCGGTGGGCAAGAAGAGAGAGGGGGAAACTTTTAATTACAATTGGAAAGAAATTAATTATGGAAAGAAATCTAATTTGAATTCAAATCTAAGAGAGAATTATTTAGGGAAAGATTTAGGAAAAACTCAAGGGAATTAATACTCATTATGTAAGAAGGAATCAAGGGGGAATTATTTTAAAAGTTTTAATTACAATTGAAAGGAAATTAATTAGAGAAAGAGATCTAATTTTAATTCAAATCTAAGAAGGAATTATTGAGGGAAAGATGGCTAATTTGGGAGGGAATTAGGAGAGCTTATTTAAGGCTAACTAAGGGGTGATTTCAGATTATGCTTGATTTTGTTGGAATTGGTTTTACTTAGGTTAAGTGGACTCTAGCCAACGGCTAGGGATTTGAGAGAGCCGGATCTTTCTCTCCAATTGATGATCCAATTGTATCTTGTCTTTTTTCATAATTATTTCAATAAAAAAGGTATTCTTGTGAGTTCTTCTTCCTATTTTCTATTGTTGCCAATTTCTGGTTTGCTGAAATTAAATCTCAACCAAGGAATTTCACAAATTTTGTATCCACTTCCAATCAAATTGGTATCATGAGAAAACTTTTTTGGGACCTATTGCGGCAAAGGTGGATGTGTTGGAAGGCAAAGTGGAACAAATCAAATCCCGGTTAGTGGAGAAGTTCTCAACCATCGAAGAAAGGCTTTCATCCATGGAAGGAAGACTTTCTAACCTAGAGGATATGAAGAAAATATTGGAGCTGCACACTCAACCGAAAACATCAAAGGCAAGGGCACAATTGACCTAACAAGGAAGTGGGTGAAACCCCAATATAGGAATGACGAGGGAGGATGGGGAAATGGAAATGTTGGAGGAAGAAGAGGAGATGCCACCTTGGGAACCACCTCCAAGGAGGGGTAAGGGCGTAGGAGTGAGAGTTTTGGTTGAGATGCAGAGTTTGGAAGGAGAAGAAGATGGGGAAAAGATAAAAGCATCAGACATGATTCAGCCACTCCTACAACAGTATCAAGAGGTGTTCCAGCCAATTTAGGGATTGCCTCCTCCGGCCTCTACGAGAACACGAGCATGCTATCATTTTACAGGAAGAAGTCTCACATATTAGTGTTTGTCCGTACTGTTCTCCCCAACTCCAGAAGGATAAGATCGAGAAATTGATCAGTTAGATGATATAAGCAATGATCATTTGACCCAGTAACAACCAAGTGCTAGTAGTTTAGTGCTTCAGCAGTAATTTCCTTCATTCCACCTTGAGAACAACCTGACACTTTGGGAGGGGAGTATTGATGAACCGACCGAGTTGATTGGGAAGGAATTAGGAAGTTTCCTACTCAAAAGAGAGCTATTTATAAAAGGTTCTTAAGCAAAAGGGAATTATTTAGGAAAGTTTTAATTACAATTAGGAGGGAATTATTTATGGCAAGAGATATAATTTGAATTCAAAATCTAAGAGGGAATTATTTAGTAAAATGGATGAGGAATTAAGAGGGAATTGTTTAGGAAAATTTTAATTACAATTGGAAGGGAATTATTAAGGGCAAGAGATCTGATTTGAATTTAAATATAAGAGGAACTATTTAGAGAAAGAGGGTTGATTTAGGAGGGAATTAGGGGAGCCTACTTCATGCTAAGAATAGGGTGATTTCACGATTATGTTTTGAGTTTGCTGAAATTAATTTTTCTTATGTAGTGAGGGCTCTAGCCACCGAATAGGAATTTGGGAGAGCCGAATCTTCCTCTCCAATTGAATATTCAATTATATCTTGCTATTTTCTTTCATATATCTTGCAAAAAAAATTTTTTGATGTGTTATTCTTCCTAATTTCTTATTTTCATTCGCTGATTTTGAGGAAATTGTATCCACTTCCTATCAATAAACTACCAATCAGAATTAATTTCATTCACTTAAAGAAAAAAAAATCTTACTAAAACTATCATTCAGCAAAGATGTATAATGTAGTATTGATTAGCAATAAAAATAATTGCAAAATCACGGAGTACCTAATCATCTTAAAATTACACCAAATATCAACATTAAGTCACATTAAGGTTGCTGCTTTTTGTACTATTTACAGAAATATTAGCAAATGATATTAAAAGTAAAGTACCTTCGTATATGCTATTTATAAATGGCAATGTTCTGATCAATGAAACTTCAAAGATCTAAGTGAAAACATAGAAATGGAGGAAACACTTTGCAGACAAGAAGCTTATGTAAGTAGAACAAACATTAGATATATAATATGTAATTTAAATGGATATAAAATTGATAATAAGAAGGCAATATTATTAGAACATCAAATGATACCTAGATATGATAGGCTTAAATTTATTGGATATAATATATTGATATTAATTGAACAAGACATAAGTTCTATAATTAAGAATATAAAGTTAAAATTGAGAAGTACCTTAGAAATATTAAGTGGTAAGAAAAAATAATGAGAACTTAATGGTAATTTATATAAAATCATGATTTTACCAACTATGTTATATAAATATGAGTGTCCGTATACCACTTACACTTAAGTTGAGTGTAAAATAAATGAGAATATTCAAGTAGATATATGACAAAACTAATAAGGATAAAATGAAAAATGAACATATGAGAGGTACATGAGAGTGATACTTATTAAAGACAAGGTAATTCAAAATAGGCAAGGATGGTTTGAGCATTTATGATAAAAATTAGAAGATGACTCAATAAGACAGATAGATAAACTTAATATGACTAGATTAGAGTGAAATGAGTTAGAAAAAGCAATATTGATAGAAGTTTCAAAAGATAATTAAGCAAAATACATTTAACACCAATGAAGTTCCCAACAAAAATGAATGGAGAATTATGATTCATAAGCCAACCCCAAGAAGTTGATATAGAGCTAATGTTGATGATGATCAACATCTTATGTTCTCATTCAAAACAATCCTTCCCTGTCATACAGACTTAGGCAACTTAGCAATATTCTTTAGCATCCTAAATGCATCAAGATAACCATACACCCTTAATGTGGATACAGCATCCAAAACATGCCCCGCTCATAGGGGAACCTAACCCAACAATATTCAATAGAGGCAAGCACTCGACCCAGTAAAGCTCAACCAAGAAAGCACACACCCCAAATAGATTTTACTGAGGGAGGACCTTAATCCAAGGAGGTACTCCTGGCATGAGAAACCATCCTAAAGAAAGACTCATCTCTCTCAAAGGACCCCTCATTCAAACTATAGGAGATGTACACCTATCAACCCCACAATGACAATTTGATCAACCATGCTAGAGTCCCAAGCTTAAAGTGTTCCCCAAAAGCACTCACCTAAAGTATTCACCCGAGAGAACTAGCTTAGGACACTCACTTGAGACTTGCTCAGAGCACTCAGCCGATAGACTTGCTCAAGAGGCATTGGCCAAGAACACTCACCACAGGTAATGCCTGAGGCATCCAAAGCCACATTAGAAATGGGAGCCACATGCACACGTCATGGACTAGACCAAGAGTCGATAACAGTCTATAATCGCCCACTCATGGGTTGAAAAGTATATTTTAGACATTACGCTATTGTCACTATTAACAAAGAGTGATTGATTCCGAAGTTCTTCTCCTTACTCGCCCACTCATTCTACTCTTCTCTTCCTCTGTCTAGGGAGTAATACTCACCAATAGCATCAAAATATCACCCACAAATAAATTTGAATCCAGCAATATCATCTCCTCTTTCCTAGTTCTTGGAGTGTAAAGAAATGTAGCATTATGACATAAATATTTTAAACGATACAAAGTTAGGTCAATTATATTAGCTGAATGGGATTAATGACCATAGATGCCTGAGCGAGATCAGGCAGAAAACTTGAAGGACTTATCAAGCCAGCCACAAAGAATTGGGACAAGGCCGGTGAAAATAGCAATAACTCACTGAAAATGGAAAGAATCAAACAGATGTACTAAGCCCGATCGCGAATACGCAATTGGGCAAAAGTTGCCAAATTTTCTTCTAAGCATGACTGAATAACGCTAAATTGGAAAACTACAAAAAACCAAGATACTCACTTAAAACGTCCCTTACGACACCCATGCCCAGTTCTGAATCACTACCTAGCATTGAGCAAAGGAATTCCTCGGCCTCCTCGCTGCTACGCGCATAAAACGCTCGCTTCTTCATCTCCATTGGACCAACCCATCCTCTCCCACCGCTACAAGATGAGGCCGATTTCGAATAATCCTTTCCAATGATTCCAGAGATCATACCGGTAGACGCCGCAATCCTCTTTTGCTTGGGCGCGCTTCTCTTCTTCCCGGTAGATCCGTGGTTCTCCCCGGGGTCCACAAGCTCCGCGCCTAGTATGCCGGCAGCCTTATAGGCGTCACCGCCGGCCTCTTTGTAGGCTGAATCAATTTGATCGAGAGAAAGACTTGGAAAAGCGGAGATAAGCCAATCCAGGGCTCGCTTGCCATCATCCTCGATTTCCTCAATTGCTCCAGCATCCACAATGACGGATTCCGGTGAATTGGGATAAGTGGGAGAGGGATCCGCCTTGATTTTACTCTTTTTCTTCCTCGTTTTCGACGGTTTCATCATATGTGCCCAATCGAAGATCGATGATCGCGGGAACAGAAGGGCGAAACGGAAGAAGATCTCAGCGTGGAGAGACGAGCCTGCTGCACGTGGTAATTCCGAATAGGCGAATGCCACAATTTTGAAATTTTAGAAAAACAATTTTCCCAAAAAAATTTGTAGAAATATGATTGATATTTTCCTCAAATATATACATTCAAAATTTTCGTTCGAAATAAAATATTTTTAAAAAGATAATTAAAATTATATTAATGCTTTTTCAAATAATTAATTGATCAGTCATATTATGAAGGCATTTTTCCTCCAATATTATTGTTGGCGAATAATGATTCTAAGCTAATATTCCTCATTCATCATGAAAAATTACTTTGACAGCAAATAAATTTCAATGGATATTTGAATTAAAAGCTTTCAAAATCAAATTGAATGTCTCGATGTGACGAACCCAACGATATTAAAAATAGTTCTACATAAGTCTAACTGAGTAAAAAATTTAATGTAATTTAACTTAATTAATTTAATTTGAAATATTAGTAATTAAATAAATCAATTGAATAATTAGTAATATAATTAATGCATAAATAAATCATCTAATATAGCTTAATTAAATAATTAATAGTATACTTAAAAATTAAAAATTAATATAATTTGAAATTAATATTAATTATATAACTAATAGTGTAAATAATAATTAAATAACGAAGAGACGATGAAGCTTAAATATAATTTCAAATAATTAATAAATCGAATCATTTTTCAAAATTTTCTCGTGTATCTTAAATTAGTTACTTTTTACAAAAATATAATGAAGAGAGCTATATATAATACCAAAGAATATATTTATATGATTGTTAAAACATTTATGTGAGCTATGTTCACGTCTTGTTAGGACTATAATCGATCATGGTTCAAGATGTCAAACACTTTTTTATTCAAATAATGTTTGAGAACCCTTCAATAAATAATGTACAATTATATATTAAGCACACAGATACTTTAACTCGGTTTAAAGAATGTAGAAACATGTATTTGAATATAGTTTGATTATATTAAGCGACAATGACTCGATCATTTTTAGATCATATTTGATCACTTTTTGAACTTATTCAAATATGATTCAATTTATTCTGATATATGTTTGAAGAATCATAAAATTAGAGGTGAGCCACCGCTTTGATGAAACACCATCAATTCAATCAACTGAGCTACTTACAAATGTAGATCTCTTTTTTTTTCTTAGATGAGATTTCTTTATCCATTAAATAATGAGCTCCAATATATGTCATTATTACGTCTATGAATGTCTCGAGTATATTTCATTATACAAATGAGGCTAATGTAAGATTCGTAAGTTCACCTCTTTTTACTGGTGCAGATGATGATGTGGGCATTCCACATACAAAAATTGGTGATATTGTGGACATCAAGTTGCATGTGATTATGATTAATGGATGCTTTGTATATTAAGCATCCATTGGAGATTTCAACCCCTATTTGTGATCAATGTAAAAGATGCAAATGGCTAAGGTCTTCTATTTGTTTATGTATGTTAAGGCTACAAGCAGTAATTTAATATATGGAGAACAAGTGGATAACTCTCAAACCATAAAAGCCAGTGCTTGAAAATGCCTCAAATAGAATAGTTTCTAATTTGCGAATATCATACTCGATTTTATCCCTTATTGAATTATGTGTTCACATCAATTAAAGCAAAGAGGAGTTAAAGTGGATTTTAAATATATATGCCATAGAAAAGAACCTTCAATTTAAGGTGAAGAAGTTATTTAGAGAAGTATAATATATCCGCTTACACACATGCTCGTGGAACTGATGTGTTAAGCCCCCCGGATCTTAAAGAAGAATGAAACCTAACCTAATTATCTCATCTTCAATACATGACATACCATAGCCAACTAGATATTTCAAATTCAAATGAATAATAGAAATATTCACCAACATTTAAGTCCATTTATTATTCTGAAAATAATATATATATATATATATAATTTAATACAAGTCTTATATACATCAAAAACATAAATGACTGAAAAACAAAAATACCTGTTTGTTAAACTCTTCGTCGACTTTATCAACTTCTACTTTGCTCGATAAGACATTAACCTTTCTAAAAAACAATACAATAATTGAAAGAGTGAGCAATCCAACTTGCTCAATAGGCATCTTTGAGACCTTACAAAAGCAATCAATATTATTTACTTAAATTAAGCATTATAAGAGCAAATAGTTAGATTTTACAATTCAATTTAGCTAACAAATAATTATACAAGATTCCATTTCATAATTGATTATTAACATAGGAAACATGATAATGTCACATATTCTTTAACATGTTGAGAGCAACATATGAACTTGTAATTAACATGAGCATGATTAGTTCTTGAACTTGTACATGTCAAACACATGAGCATTCACTTGCTTGTACATGTCAATAACATAAACTTGCATTTAAAATTGTACTTTCATGTGACTTGTATGCAATTAATGTAAAACATAATTCATGCATATGTCTTGATGTTTTTTTATAACTTCACTTCTACTTATGAATTTACTTGATCATTCTCACATTTGTCCAGTACAGGTGGAGACATGTTTAAATCCCTTTATAACTCAATTTTCCCTTATAACTCCACTTGATTGCATCTACCTATGGAAGATGGGGCAATACATAAACATAAACATATAAGGGTCATTGAAATATTACTTATACTTTAACTTGATCAATTCCCACATTGTAAATTCACCATATGAACATGCAATTCATGACAATAACATGAGAAGATTAACACATTTAGCATGTATATGTAACATTTAGCGTATTATATGAATGTACATAAGTGACTTATGTATGGCAATTCTAGTGCTATATAGGGATAGAATATATACACATTTTCAACATCGACATTTCAAAAAACCATTATTAAGGAATATCCTTAACTTTATTTTAGGGTTGTTACTATATTATAAAATTTTCCAACTTAACATAAATAGTAAAACATAACAAAGGGAAAAAATTATGTGAATAATTATAAGAGATATCAAAATTTTATGTAAAAAATCTTGCAAAGGGAAAAAAATCATGGGGTCTTGTTCTGTTGAAATGTATATGCTAGTACGTATTTGTTGTTAATTACAAATGATGCCCTTCCTCGAGGGAAATACATCATATAGAGCAAATAATATGGTTAAGTTTGGAAGAATCCAGTGACATGAGAGATGTTCTCAAAAGAATGTTGGCCTATTTATTTGGTTTGTAGGATTGTAATCTGGTGACGATGTTCAGAGGGACAATAGTATGGTGACAGAGATTGGAGGGATTATAGTCAGCTAGCGATGGAGGTTAAATAAACCATAGTTAGGTGATGGAGTTTGGAGGGGTTATAGTTGGGCGACTGTGGTCTGAGAATCGTAGTTGGTTGGCAACGGAGGTAAGAGGGTCAGAATTAGACAATGGAGGTCGGAGGAGCCATAGTCGGGTGAATATGGTCTGAGGACTGTAATTGGGTGACTGTGGTATGAGGACCATGGTCAGCGAGCGACAAATGTTATATTATTATTATTAGTGGGTGATGGAGGTTTGAATGATCGTAGTCGGGTGACGATGGTAGGAGGGATCATAGTCGGCGGGCGATGAAGATCAAAAGGACCATAGCCAACAAGCAACAAAGGTCGAAAGAATTATAGTTAGTGGGAAACAAAGGTCGGAGGGATGTGATTGAATGATGGAGGTCAGAGAGACCGTAGTCAAATGATTGTGGTCTAAGAACCATAGTTGATTGGCGACGGTGCTTGGAAGGACCTTAGTCAGTAAGGGATAGAGGTAAGGTGGAGAGTCGGCTATGATGGACAGATGGAGGTTCGACGACGATCATTAGGAGGAGGTCTAGCAATGGTGGTCAGACAACAAAGATTCGTTGATGATGGTGTTGGAGTGGAGCTCCTGGATGCTTTAAGCCTCAGAGCTCTCTTGAGCCTTTAATTAACCCATGGTTTAAGCCTCGTAAAGTCTCTCCCCTCCTCATGTCGAAGAGGGGGTCTATTTATAAAATTTTGATAGTTGCATGTCCCACAAATATAGAGAAGATATGAGG